CAGTAAATCAACTTGTGAAAAAATGCATAAATTGAAGTATGGCTTATGCTTATTTTTTTAGCATGGTTTGTTGCTGTATCTTCACAGCTGGAATGGTGTTCTGCATACAGTAAGTGCCAGTAAATGTGTTCTACATAAATAAACACTTTCTACAACATGCTCAGAACCTGAAGGACTGGAATAACTGATACACAGATTTCTTTATTCATTAGTTTACATTACTGTTTTAGTTTTTAATTATTAAACATATTTTGAGATAAAAAGATAGAATCACATGCAGATATAAGAAAAAATACAGAGATATGCTGTGTGTCTCTTACCCAGTTTATCCCAGTTGTGATATTTGTAAAACTATAATAAAATTTCAAAACCAGGATGCTGACAGTCATACAGTGAAGGTACAGAACATTTCCATCACCACAGTGATGTCTCATGTTGTCATTTTGTAGTTAGACCCACTTCTCTCCTACTTCTTCCCTTAGCCTTGGCACCACTAATTTGTTCATTTCTACAGTTTTGTCATTTTGAGAATGCTACACAAATAAAACCATACATATGTAAACTTTCAGGATGGGCTTTTTTTCAACACAACTCACTATAGATTCACCCAAGTTGGTGGATCAGTTTATTACTTTCTATTTCTGAGTAATAGTCCATGGTAGGATTGTATTACAGTTTTTGCTTTTTTCCACTTTTTTATTATGGTAAAATATTTCTTGTTACTTGTATAACATGGCATTTAATGTCTTAACCATTTCAAGTGTTCAGCTCAGTGATGTTAAATGTATTCACATTGTCATGCAACCATCACCACCATCCATCTCCATAACTCTTTCTATCTTCTAAGACTGAAACTCGACCCATTAAACAATCACTCCCCAGAATCCCCTCCCCTAGCCCAGGCAACCACCATTAAAATTTGTCTTCACAATTTTTTGAGTACCCTAAGTAACTCCATAAGTGGAGGCACACTGTATTTGTCTTTTTGTAACTGGCCTATTTCACTTGGCATAATGTCTTCAAGGTTATTCATGTTGTAGTCCATTGCAAGAATTTCTTCCTTTTTCAGGCTGAATGATATTCTGTTGGATGTATATACATTTTGCAGATCCATTTATCTACTGAAGGACTCCTGGGTTGCTTCAATATTTTAGCTATGGTGAACAACCATAGCTATGAACTTGGTATACAAATATCTCCTCCAGATCTTGCTTTCATTTCTTTTGGATATATAACCAGAAGTGTAACTGTTGGGACACACAGTAACTCTAGTTGTAATTTTTTGGTTTTGGGGCTCCTAGATGTTTTAGATGAATTTTAGGATAGGTTTTTTTCCTATTTCTGCAAAAATATCATTAGGAGTTACATAGGGATTAGATTTAATTTATAGATCATTTGGGGTTGTATTGGGTTTTTAACAAGATTAAGGCTTCCAAACTATTAACATGGGGTGTAGCTCAATTTATGTCTTCTTTAATTTCTTTCAGTGGTGTTTTGTAGTTTCATCATATAAGTCTTTTATCTCTTGGTTTAATTCCTAAATATTTTACTTATTATTTGCATACCATAGTAAATGCAATTGTTTTGTAATTTTCTTTTCAGATTGATCAGTTAGTATATATAAGTGCAGTTGATTTTTGTGTGTTAACCTGCATCCGCCTACTTTCCTGAATTTTTTTCTAACAGCTTTTTTTTTTCTGGAATCTTCAGCATTTGCTACATATAAGATCACATCATCTGCAAACAGGAAATTTTACTTCTTCCTTTCTAATTTGTATGGCTTTTGTGTCTTTTTCTTGCCATATTACTCTGGCTAGAACTTTCAGTACTACATTGAATAGAAGTGGTGAAAGCAGGCACCCTTGCCCTGTTTCTAACCTTAGAGAAAAACCTTTCAGGTTCTTACTGTTGAGTTTAATGTTCACTCTAGCTTTTTCACATATGACTTTTATTACATTGAAGTAATTTCCTTCTATTCTTAGTTTGTTGAGTGTTTTTATTTTGAAAGTACGTTGAATTTTGTCAAGTGCTTTTTTTGAATCGATTGTAATGACCTTATATGTTTTTCTCTTCACTCTGTTGATATTATATTGTTTTATTTTTATACATTGAACCACCCTTGCATTCCAGAAATAAATCCCACTTGTAGATAATCCTTTCAATATGCTGCTGAATTATGCTTGTTAGTATTTTGTTAAGCAATTTTGCATTGATGTTCATAAGGGATATTAATATGTAGATTTCTTATTTTATCTTTGCTTGATTTTGGTACGAGGGTAATGCAGACCTTATAGAATGAGTTAGGAAGTGTTCCCTCCTCTTCACTTTTTGGTGAAAAGTTAAGAATTGGTTATTAGTTCTCATTTAAAAGAAGAACTATTGTCAGTTCTATTGTCAGTCAATAATCAGGTACAAGGTTTTTCTTTGATGGGAGACATCTGATATCTCATTCAATCTCCTACTAGCTATAGGTCTATGTGGATTTTCTATTTCACCATGACTTAGTCTTTGTAGGTTTCATGATATTTAGCTATTTACTCAAGACTGCCACTATATTTGTCCTGTTTTCAAAATTTCATATATATCCCAATCATTTTGCACTCCATATAATATCCTATGGAAGCATGACTGTAAATGGTTGCATGGTGCTCCATCCCATGGGTATGTCATCCAGTATCTAACTTTCTTCCTTTTGTTGAATGTAGGTTGATTTCAACTGCTTGTCTGCAGTGAATATCTTCATATCGTGAACACATCTTTTCTTAGCTCCATAGGACATATTCTCTGGAGGAGAGTTTCTGGATCATTAGGTCTGTAAGCATTATTCCTGCTCTGATCATGTCTTTGGAGATGATGCCAGGGATAAATGAGGCTCAAAGTCTAAGCTACCAACAGAACAGTGAGAAAAATTTATGGAGAAAATTTTCTCATCTGTATCTTAATATCTATGTCTTAAATACAACTTTATAGTAGTTTTATTTAATACTCATATGTGAACTCACTAACCTTATTTAAAATGTGATAATCCACCAATCATAACCACCATAATTAAAACAGTCATTTATTGAAAATTGGTCTGTGCTGTAAAGCAATTGTCTTCCAAATAAAAAAATTTTAAAAAGAAAATTTGATCTGTACCAGACATAGTGCTAAGTCCTTTATATGCATAATCTCATTAATAAATGTCCTAGCAGGTGGAAGTAATGAGGTCTAGTTTACAGAGGAGCAACCTGACCCTAATAAGAGACACTGAGAAGTTCAACCTGACAGCCTCTCCAGAAGCCAGGGCAGGGACCTCATTTAGTGCTCACTAAAAAGCAGTCAATGTTCTAAACTATACAAATGAAGATTTTTACAAATGACACAGCAAAGGCCCTGAGAGATTTGTTTTCTGTCCAATGGAACATAGCTAAGAAATGGTGGACCCAGGCTCAGACAAATTCCAGATACGCTATGCTTAGGAGTTTTCTCTCTCTGAACTGCTGCAACCGCCCCAGTGTAAACACAGAAAGGAGGCGTTTGGGGCTGAGCAATTAAAAATATGTTTTTTCTCTGACTGACAACAGACAAGGTGGCCTGAGTAAAAGCTGGGCTTTGGGTTCCCACCAGGTCCTCCCACCACCAGTATGCTATCTGTCCATCCCTGCCTGGAGCTAGCAGAGGCTCCATCTCTCTCTGCCAGTTTCAGGACCACATTCATCTTTTTACGTCAGTGTGGCATTTTCTGGTGACACTAAGTGGGTAGCCTGGTTCTCAGGAGACCAGGTTTCTTGTGTTTCTATCACTGACTATAGAATATGACCGCAGGGAAACTCAAGATCTGAAGACCCATTTGGCACTTGCTAGGATTCTGGGTGGCGGTGGTTGCCAAACCTGTTTGAAATCATTGAGCTTCTGCCCCTGCTCACTCACCACCAGTAGGCTTGGTGCCCATTGGCATTTCTGTTAAAAAAAAAACAAAAAAAAAACAAACATCAGACCCAGACCTAAGGCAACTTCCTGTCTGCAGCCAGGTGTTGCTGTGTTGCCCCGCACCAGGCACACTCAAACACAACTTTGAAAGGTCAGCGTATCACGGAGTTGGCTTTCACAGGAGATAACGTGGACGTTTATCACTCGTCTGGCAGATATTATTAGTCCTTTGTCCAACTTTTGAAAGAATGGAATTTTGGAAATGTTTTCCCCTAGACTTTTTCAGCATTTCTAGACTGATTCACTCCCCTGGTGAAGCCGTGGTTTCCGTGTTACACTGATTACGGTAAAAACAGCAGTCTTCTGGGAATGTGTTCAGGCTTTTCCTGAATCCCTGAGCTTTGCCTCCGCAGTCGCTGCTCTCCCTCGAGTCCCGGCATCAGACGGTCCAGTCTGGTCGGGTCACCGGCAGGCCGTCTGGCTGAGCCTGGAGTCAGTCCCGGTTCCTGGTTCCCTTCTGCCTGACACACAGACTGACCTGTGCTGCGGCGCGTCATAGCCTTTCCTTTCCTACAGTTTAAGAGGAGTGCCCTGCAAGAGCACTCCAGGAAATTAAAGTCACTTTTCAAACATCCCAAGGTCACTTTAAGAATTCAAAGGGCAGGAGACACCTGCCGAGTGGGGGGATGGCGCCGGAGCCGCTCGGCCCTCCCCGCTCCGGAAGTGCCGGCGTCGGAGGTGACCGCGCCCCGCGGCCTGGAAGGAGCGGTGGGCCCCCAGGGCCGCACCGACTCGGCCCCTCCCCGCCCCTCTACCCTACAGGCCCGCGGGGCTCGGCGCTGCCCCCGGAGCAGGTCCGCGCGAAGCCCGGGGGGACCCAGAACGGGCGGGCGGTCCCGACGCGAGGCGAGGGCGGGCCGGGAGGGGCGGGGCCGGCGGGCGGTTCGCCAGTCCGAGCGGACTCTGCCCCCGCCCTGGGCGGCCGAGCACCCGGGCGCCGCTCCCCCACACGGAACTGACTTCGGAGCTGGTCCGCAGACGACCGCACGCAGTCCGAGAGCGTGTCCGCAGTGGGCCGGTCCTGGAGGATGCGCGCCCTGGACGCGCCTGCGAGCCCGCGGCTCTTGGCCTCGGACTCCGGGTCCCCCGCGGCCCCGGACGCGACTGGGCCGGTTCGCAGGAGCGCGGTGGAGAGGCTGGCGGCCGACCGCGCCAAGTACGTGCGCGGCCCGCCCGGGGCCGGATCAGGCCCGGCTGGCGGGGGCAGCAGCCCCGAGGCGACCGGAGGGCAGGCGCGCGTCCCCGGGCCCGGGGTGCGCAGGGCTATAGCGCGGAAGCCGCTAAGGCCGGACTCGCTGGTCATCTACCGTCAGAAGTGCGAGTTCGCCCGAGCGTCAGGACCCGACAGCCCCAGGGCAAGCCTGGTGAAGAAGCTCTTCCAGGGGCCGAGCAAGGACAAGACGCCCGAGCCTCCTGGCGCTGCCCGGGTGGGAGCGGAGTTGGGGGTCAGGGCCCAGGGGGCCGCCCGGGCCGGGCCTGGCCCCTCCGCGCCTCCCGCGCCCGCGCGGTCTGTCGGGACGACCCAAAGGGTCTCGGCTGCGCCCGGCGGCGCGGAGCTGCTGGGGGTGAGGCGCCTGGGGCTACAGCGCTCTCAGTCCGACCTCAGCTCGCGCTACTCGGTGTCCTTGGCCGAATCGGACACTTTCTTCCAGTACTGCGGCCTGGAACCCGACGTGGTGGAGGCGCTCGGGCGGGAGAACTTCTCGGCCGGGTCCGACCGCGGCGCCCTCAAGGTCCGCAGCGTGAGCGTGGCCACCTCCGACAGCGGCTTCTCCCGGCGCAGCGGGGAAGACGAGGGGCTGCAGGAGGAGGAGCTGACGGAGCAGGTGCCCAGCACCACCTCGGTGGTCGAGCGGAACGCGCGCATCATCAAGTGGCTGTACACCTGTAAGAAGGCCAAGGAGACGCCCGGCCAGGGGCTGCAGGGCCCGGCGTGACAGCCCGCCCCAGGAGAGCCGGGCCGAGGTGTGCGTCCGGGGCCGGGAGGGGTGTCTGTGAGGTCCTGGGGAGGGGCCGAGCTGGGGGACCCTGCCTTCTAGAGTAACTCGAGGCCGAGAGATAGAGCCGCAGGGCGCCTGCGTCAGAGGACTGCCAGACCTGGCCTGTGCCGGTTCTCTTGAGTGTGCGGCTTCTGGCTGCCAGGAAAGTTAACTCTGTACACTAAGTGCATCCCAGTTGGCTTATTACTGTAGAAAGAGGAGAAATTGGCATTCTAAACGCTCCGTCAGAAAGTGCTTTTACACCTCTGCTGTTTCCCTGCGCTGAAATAGCCTGAGGGCCCTGCGTGGGTCCAGAGCTTTGGTGCCCGCTGACCGGTCCGCGTGGGCCCTTGGGGGACTGCGATCTCCCCTCCCCAGAAAGGAAGGCTGTGCACTTCCGGGAGGCCTTCGCCGAACTGAGAGGGAGGAGGACTTCTCTACAGTATCTTCTCAGCTTTGACACTCATTATCTGTAAAAGATTTTTGCCCAAATTTTCTTCAAATTGTTTCGAGACCTTTCTAAGGAGATGCGTTGGGGCAGAAAGAGCTTCAGTTTTTTGAATTGAGGGAGGGACTAGATCATAACTAATGTCTTAGAGTTCTCCTTGGCAGTGATTGTGTATTTTATTTGCCTCTGCTGATAAAAGGGGAGGTGCATTTCTTCCCCTGGAGTCAGTATCTCAAAGCTGATCTCAGGAAGTTCTTTTTCCTCAAGGAACTAAGGAATGTTTATTTTCATTGTCACCTCTGTGGAGAGGGTATTTCTGGGGTAGTCAAGGGAAAAGGGAAGATACCTTTTCAGGGTTCTCTTTGAGAACCAAGATTTTCAGCACTACAGCATCTTGATTTTTCTGACCCTGCACTGACAACTTGCTGTAAGTGTAAAGTTAATGTGATGGAAGTATTTTGTCTGCCCTTGAGATAAACTAATTTAAGACATGGTGTCAGTCTTCAGCATGGTGGGGGAGTCTGCCCTAAGATGTGTTTGCACACAGCTCACCTGTGTTTGAGGCCTGAAAAATGCCTAACTTCCCCAAGTGTCCATGGTCTTAATACAGATGTGACAATTCACAAAGAGAGAAGGGTTCAGTGTTTCTTTTGAATTCAGAAGACTCCCTTGTAGTTTATTGAGGATTATTGCATTTCCCCTAACCTGAGTCCCCATGGAATGTATAAAGGCAATCAGAATTTAAACTAAAAGCAGTACATTAAGTGGTATTTTTCACCAGTTGTCTTGGGTCCTGAGGTGAGTGACTGCTGGCCATGGTTAGGGTTGGCCGTGAACACCTTGATATGGCAGAGGGAAGCTGCAGAGGCTGGCTTGTCTCAGAGGGTCATGGTGTAGCAGATGGAGCCCTCAGTGGGGAGTTGGGAGCCTGTCTTCTGTTAGCAATCACTCCCCCACTTTTAGCTTAGGCTCCCATTATCCATAAAATGAACACGGATAGCAGAGGGTTTCCAACCTCTATTCTTTGTAATTCCATATAGTCGAAAATGTGTTTGTCTGTGTTCCATGACTGTAACCGAGAAAAGTAAAACAACAATAACAACAACAATAACAAAAAAAAAACTGTTGTCTATTATGACATGACTTTTATGGCAAAGGGAAGTAGTCGAGGCCAGAGGAAAGTGACACTGGGTTAGGGGACTGCCCAGGATGACTCTGCAGGAGAACAGTGGTGCACTCACTCACCAGCTCCCTCCCTCTTCACAGTGCTGTTTTTTCAAGTGGAGGACTGTGTCACCTGTCTTCTGATCTGTTTCATGGTATTGTACAGAGAAGGGAGATAGTTGTTACACAGAACCTGCCCAATTTGCCCTGTGTCATTGGCAAGCACCAGCTCTGTAAAGATTTTCTGTACAAATTTACTCTCATAGACCCTAAACAGCTCAAGTTCTTTGAACTTCAACCCAAGAGACCTAAGGGCTTGCTGCTTGGAGAATTGTGAGGAAGAAATGCATGTCCTTTCTCCAACTTATGGCAGGCCACCTGTTTTGATGAACTGAAGGACAGGAAGGTGATTAAACACCAGTAGACAGAAGAGTGATTTTCATAAATTTTATAGTGGGAAATAGAATACCAAAATTATCAGTCATGGATCCCAGTGGAATGTCCTCATTCTCCAAATGAGGACAGTGTCTGTCCTGACCACAGTCTCTTCGATTCACCACCTTCAGACATGAAATCCCCTCTGAAAAAGAGACAGGACAGACTCCAGACCCTTCACCTTCGTTGGTGCCGAGGTCTTCTGGCAGCCTGAACAAAACCACAGGATTTCATCACAGGATTACTTGCCTGAGAATAGTTCCCTAACTTCTGGAAGCTGTGGAAAAAAACCTACAGCTGCAATTTTTCTCTAGTTTATTGTGACATTTATTGTGACATCTGTGGAATCCATACAGATGAGTTTTAGGATTTCATGAAAATTTTAGATGAACGAAGATGTCTTTTCTAGGTGAAAAAGAAAATACATTTTATGTGAAGGGTTTTGTCCCCTTGGTAGATAGAGGTACTATAAAGTAAAATAAAAATATTCCATCCAGAATTAAATAAGTTCATAAATTTATTACCCCATGGATTAAAAATATTTACTTTTCAAAAGTGAGACCATCAGAACTAGAGGATGACTTATAGAAGCTGCATGTGATTCCATTGGGCTCCATGACTAATACTTACACATGGGTAATTTTGGTATTCTATTTCCCAGTGTAAAATTCATGAAAACCACTCTTCTGTCTACTTGTGTTTAATCATCTTCCCGACCTTCAATTCATTAAAATGGGAGGGCTTGCCAAAATTTAGGTTTCTGGCTTTCTATCTTTTGCACAGAATATATGTTACTGATTTTAATATTGTTATAAAAGAATGGCAACTTGTCCTTTGAATTTTTTAGCGATAAATGTTCAATTTAAAAGCAAAAATATCAGACATTCCCCAGCTCTTTTCACATTTCTCTTTGATAATGTGGGGTAACTGGAAGCTGGGAGGTAGAACTGTCTCAACATCTGCACAGATGCCATGGAGCATACAGCAGACAAACTGGGACACTCCTGCTTTTCTACTTCTGTCTTTTCCAACTAGCTTGGAAGCTCGTACTCACCAACTAGGAGTGCATTTTAGGTGAACGTAGTGACTGTAGCTGTAATAAGGCTACCTCCATCTTCAGGCCAGCCCCTGAGTCTTTCAGAGAGAACTGTGTTTGAAAGGGCAGAATCTGTTTGCCATTTAAATTTTATTTGTACTGCTTGCTTTGTGTTCTGTTTTGTTGTCCAGCTCTGTACTAGTGAGCACTGGCCTTACCGATCAACATTCAAAGAAATTTTTCTTTACTGCCTCAGAAAAAGGCCTACAGGGAAATGGATACAGAGCAACCAGATGATAGCTATGTTTGCTACTGATTTCTTTTCACATTTTTAAATGCGCAAAGGAGATGTTTGAAATACAGGAAGTATCATTAAACCAAAGACTGCAGGGGCCAAACTTTGTAATTCAGTGCTTGGCTTTATAACTTTTGACTAGACTGGTGTTGATTGACAGCTTTTTCCTTACTCCTCAGGAAGCAAACCTTCTGGACGATGGGAACTCCTTGCAGCGTGTCTGGTGACTGGGACCGGAGGCCCATCTTCACTGCCAGGTTTTATCTAGAGTACCCAAGTATCCATATAATTGTTCTTTTCCCAGGAATAAAACACACCATTAAAGAAGCTTGTCATTTCAGAAGGTTTGAAATGCTGTGGAGAAGGTGGGAACACAGAACTTGGAAATAAGCTGAGTTTTAACTGTTATGACACAGCTGAAGCTCTGGTAAATATTTTCTTGTGTTAGGTGGATCTATTTTTGCTTCTAGAGGGCAGCAGAAGAAGGAAAAGCTGCTTGGAAAGATTTTCAAGGGCATCTTTTTGAGTGGCTTGCTGACAAATAGGTACCATGATACATTTTAATGATAATTAATTTTGAAAAGAAAAAAGGCAAAGAGCATGAAATTCAAACACAAATGCCATGGTATTTACTGCTTTTAATCATACTGGACAGATTGGCACTATTTAAATGAAAGTTCTGTGATCATAAGACGATGTATTCTACACAAATACTGTGGTTAACAAAGAGCAAACACATGCTCACACTTGCACATTCACACATAGACCTCCTTTTCTAAGTATCGCCGCACCATAAACTACAGTGAATTCCCAGCTGTGCAATTGATCATCTTATGAAGTGAATCAGAAAGCACTTTTAAAACCACTTGAGAGCTGCAGGATCACTATGAATGCCACTCCTGTTGGGCTGTAGACATGCAGTGGTAACATAAAAAGATAAAGAGTTGAAATACTGCTAGAAAACCTTTTTGTGTACCTGGGCGGTTTACTGAGAGTTGGCAGAAGAATACTGAAGCTTCCTTCCTTCAAATCTGCATCAGTGGTCCTCTTCTGCAGCACTGTGTCAAATATGCCTCCATGGTTCTCCTGTCCCCAACTTCCGAAAAGGATAAAAAAGACCTCTATTTAGGCAGAACATGGACTCATGGCATGTGAAATGCCCTACATTTTGGTCTAATTCACACCCTCATCTATCATGCAATCATTCCAAATTTGGCAGCAGTTCACCCTGTCTGAATAGGATGTTTGAAACAAGGGGCAGTCCCTTGGATGGCTGGGAGACTGTCGGATTGGAGTGTTGTTGGTAAGGAGTTACTGTGACTCTAAATCTGTCCCAGCTTGTGACACTCAGAGTAAATAAATTTCAAGTTCAGAACCTTCTGAGAGAGATTTTGTATCTGTGAAAACAACCCAAAGACCATCTGTCATCCAGTCAAAGCTCACAGTGTTTTATCAAAATATATCTAAGAACATAATTATTAGAACAGGGAGGGAAGAGAAATAGGTTTCTCAAAAGTAAAATGTTTTATAAACCAATTTTGATATATTCATGTATTTGTTTAATACTGTATTCTATTTTT